CGGCGGCGGTCCGGAGGACGAGACAAAATTGCAACACTTAATAAAAGTTAGGTATTTTTTTGTCAAATTGAAAAGGTTAAGTTTTATTTGCAATTAAACAAAAGGTGATGGGTTTTTATGCAATTGACCCTTATATATTCTATAAAGTGCAGTATTTAAAATAGATATTGATAAAAATTTATTTTATATATACTAATAAAAAATCGACAAATCTATATATATATATATAATTACTAGCTAATAACATTTAATAAAATCTATTTAATTTTACCTATATGGCAAATTAACTTTTTTCCCTCAAAAAACCGTTACTTTTAATGTATTTAATCTTTCATTTAATTATTAAATAATCAACAATAATCACCTCAAAATTGTAAAAATCATCTTAAATTTTGATTACTGAAAGTTGACCATATAATGTATTGGCCGTATAATGTGATTAATTGTTATTATTGTGGTTACATTTAAATTAGTTTTTTTTTTAAAATAAAAAACGTACTTGAAATTTCTAAATAAATTATAAATAACTCACAAAAAAATGGCGTACCAAAATATACATTACATCTAATAAGATAAACGTAATTTTAAAAAAAAATATTCCAACTCCTTTGTAAATTTGGTCAGTAAAACGGTGAAAGAAAAATAATTAATCAATATGCATACATATAACTCATAACACTTTATTTACAACTGTGCAAATGCACAAGATCGAATACTAGTTGAGATTAAGCATGGTAACATTAAGAGAAATTTAATATTAGATACATATACCCTAGGACTAAGTATATAAATTGTCATAAAAAAAAGATAATAAAATTCGAGAAACTCTATATTTATATATTAGTTCCCACCTTCATTATTTATTAGGAAACAAATTAGTTCATTTTAATCAAGCAGATATTATAATTACAATTAATTGATAATTAAATTCAAAAACTCTATTTATATTTAGTTCCCACTATTTCAAAATTATTTATTAGGAAACATATTACCAATTTTGAGGGATTCTATTGTCCAGTTACGGAACCATTTTGTTGGAGTTTGTAACCGTTACATCGATTACATGATAATTTAACGGTTTTAAATTTCGACAAAATGGTTTCGCAAGAATAGTAGTATTTCCCACCAATTTTAATCCAAGTTTTACATTTCTTGTCAACGTGCTAAATCGCACCTCTCCCCGCCATCTCTGACCACCGAGATTTCACTTTCTTCTTTTCATGATTTTTTTTTTTTCGATCGGAAAAATTGAAATTACTCTCAGCACACGGCGGTGAGTTTCCCGAGATCTTATCACCGTTCACCGGACAGGGAAAAACCCTAGCCTCTCTCTCTCACTCTCTCCGTCACGTGGATTTTTTTTGCCGACTTTCAGATTTTAGAAATCGGCATTTCGTTTTCCAATTTTGGGCTTTCCGATGCGGAGGATCGTCGATTAAATCGTTTTGGTGGAGAATTTTGATGAGGGCATTTCGCAGATGCTCGAGGATTTTGATCCTCTGCTTGCTCTGTGTTTCTGTTTTTGTTCCTGTTTTTCTACTGTCGTACAGGCTCAAACATATTAAATCCGATGGTAAGTACATTTGATGTTCCCTCTGTCAGCTGCATTTATGTATGATTCTTTATTCATCTTTTTAGTTTTCAGTTTAATTTGATTCGTATCTTTTTTCTTTTGTTGCAGTATCTGAAGACTTGGTTGAAGATTTATCGATCATAGTATGATTCTATCTTCTTTAACTACATTTGATAGTGTTATACGGCTTGACTTAGTCTATGATGAGTCTTAACTCTTAATATTGCTGCTGCAATGTTATCTGCATCCTATGTTTCGGGCAGTTGATTTCTTGACGATGAATTTGTCTTATTGAACTCCCGCATTGATCATAGTATGATTTCGGTGTTGATTGTGCTGTGCTTTGTGATTTTAGAGTTCATACCATTTCTGTATTCAAATATGTCGTGCTAAATGCAAATATTGGTATTCTGATATCTGGAATGCACTGATATTTTTAAAATTCGTCTTTCCTTTTCATAAATGTTTCTTCGTTCAGATTTATTACTTGATAACTATATTTTGATTCTTGTTGTACAGAAACACAGAACGGATGCGCAAATATTAAACGCGATACAGCAGGTAATTGGATATGTAAATGCATGTCACATATTGATGATGCCATTTTGAAAATTATTCTCCAGGATTATCTGCTATTTTTTGTTTCAATTTTTATGAAACAGGAAGGTGAAGGTTTAAAAGAACCTCCTCTGGTGGTGTACAAAGAAGAAACCCATAATTCTCCAGTTAATCTTAGTTATAGTGAGGATACAACTTCTGGTGAAGTTAGGAATGCTGCAAATAATGCGGACTTGTTGGAAAGTAGTGGTTGGTACTATTTACATTTGTTTTTCTCCGGTTCCTTTTGTTGCTCATTTAAAGTGTAGTGATATGTACTTTGTCTGATCTGGTTTCAAGTTCAGCAACTACACATGATACTAGTGAAAGTGGCCGGAAAAGACATCAAGAAGAGTTGGCCGTATCTGGGTCAAGGGTATGTTATTCTCATTGCATAGTATATATATGCTGTCTTTGTTTTTTGCCCTTGTTTGATTATTGGGCGTACATATAATGCATTCATTGAGGTTGATCTGTATATTTTTTTTTTTTGAAAAAATAAAGTTAGATATTATGCTAAATTGTTAAAGTAATAAATTATATCAAGTGCAATAATACTTTACCGTGACAATTTAACAAACTTTGGGCGAGTGGTATATGAGATCGAACGTATGTTTGGTAATATGCTGAACAAGTTTTGGACTGACCGATATTCCGACAAATTTTGCTTGTTAGAGATGAGAGATGATCTGTGTGGTGACCCAATTTCTGAAGCATGCTACTAGAAGAAGTTTATTTAGACGATGAGTCTGTTAAATTTTACCCTGGATGAGAATTTTTTGTTTCTGAGATGCTAGAGAACCTTCTCGAATAATTGTACTTATATTGACCTGGTATGAAGTACTCATGGTTCTATTTATGTCGTAACTTTTCCATCATTTTCTGATTCTCTTGTACAAGATCTATTATTTTCTCAAGGATGTATTGGAAATTGCCAATAAATTGTGAATAGTATTTACTTGTTTGTTATTTCCACAAATCTACCTTTTGAGGATAATATCAAAGCTGGTCTTCCTGTTGTGACAGTGTTGTCACATTTTCATGTTCTGCATACTTAACTCAATGCTTTTTGCTAAAATTGTGAATATGTATTTACTTGTTTGCTATTTCCACAAATCTACCTTTTGAGGATGATATCAAAGCTGGTCTTCCTGTTGTGACAGAGTTGTCACATTTTCATGTTCTGCATTATGCTTCTTGCTTTAATATACCCCTTTTTGCCGGGGGATTGTGCAAGCTTTCTCCAAGTTAAATGCTTCATGAATTTTCTCTCTTTTTTCATTGTGTTTTCTTTTGCTTGCTTCTCTCCCACTATTTTTTTCATTTTGTTCACCAAAGGAAAAGTCTCACAAATACAAGACACAGCTTAATGGGGTTGTACGGAGTAGGTCGGGAGCTTTGGAAGAAAAGTTGAAAGAGATGAAAGACCAAGTGATTAGGGCCAAAGCTTACTTAAATTTCAGACCATCAAATAGCAGTTCTCATATTGTGAAAGGGTTAAAACTACGAGTGAAAGAGGTTGAACGAGCCATGAGTCAATCCTCCAAAAATTCTCGTTTACCTAGGAGGTACCACATTCTCATTCTAATTTTCTTGTTCATTATACTATATGTTTATTATGAACTCTGAATATCACAATACTATTTTGTGAGATTGTGGGAATTCAAGGCTAATAAGAATCATCATTTTTATATAAGATTGTTGTTCCATACACTTTCTTTGTAATTGGTTTTATTATTATCATTTTTCTTTACTTACAGATTCTGATGTGTAACTTGGTGATTGAGCTCCCACTTCCAAGTTACTCTGATTAGGTTTGTCATACTAAAATTGTTACCTAACCAGATGTTTATTATTGGTTGTGACGACTCTCAATAGGATTCATTGGCCAGCCCACTAAACCTCGTAAATGGTAGTATTGCCATCCTTAATAATCTTATGAGAATATATCTACTCAGTATTTTCGTTTACTTATTATAAGTGTAACCTAGTTTAATTTTGGAAAATGGAAATCAGTGAATTATAATATCAAAGGCTTACCTAATTATTGGTCAAAATTCACATTTGGTAGGCATGATTTGTAACTGTTGGTAGTCATACGCAGTCAGTCTAAGTCTCTGACTAGACATTGATACTTCTTTTTTAGTCACTGAATGCAATATATACCTATGACTACATGCTTGTCACAGACTTTAAGAGAGCATCGCGTACCCTTACTGAAACATAGACGACTTCCGTATAACAGTGTAATAACAAACTCAAGTTCATGAAAATTTAGTGACGTTAGATTATATATACTAAACTCCTGTTTTTCAGTTCTGTACAGAAGATGAAAGCAATGGAAGCTACCCTGTTAAAAGCAAGTCGTATTTACCCTGATTGTACTGCAATGATTAAGAAGCTTCGAGCCATGACTCATAATGCGGAGGAGCAGGTTAGGTCACAGAGGAATCAAGAAACTTTTCTTAGAAGGCTGGGTGGGAGAACCATCTCGAAAGGCCTGCACTGCCTCTCTATGAGATTGACTGCAGAGTATTTTTCCCTGGACTCTAAGGCAAGGGAGTTTCGTCACAAAAATAAACTAAAAAATCCTTATCTCTATCATTTCGCCGTTTTCTCTGACAACATATTGGCGTGTTCAGTTGTTGTGAACTCAACTGTCTCAAATGCCAGGGTATGTGGCTGTTTTTCCCTTCTTTCCATTGATTTTTTTTAGATATATTGCAGGACAAGTTCCATTTGCGGGACACCTTGATCTTATTTATATATAGGAATAGTTACTACTACGCCTTCTATTTAATTTTTAACACTGAACCAAATGTCCATATGTTAAATTTTGATATTTTGTGAATTTTTTGTCTTTTATTTTGGTAATTACCCCGAACTGCAGTGGTAATTTATAATTATCCCTTCTTATACATTTTTTTCTATTAGTCATAGATAGCACCTGGGTTATGCTTGAAAATGAGCAGATGCTTCTCGATCTTAGTCAAACACTAGATTACAGTTCAAATGTTTTACTTGGCAGGAGCCAGAAAGGTTGGTATTTCATGTGGTAACTGACTCCCTTAACCTTCCAGCAATGTCGATGTGGTTCTTACTAAACCCTCCTAGCAAAGCTACTGTTCATGTGGAAAGCACGGACAGTTTTCACTGGCTAACCACAAAATACAACATGACTCTACTACAGAGGGAAGGTTCTATTGATCCTCGATATACTTCTGGGTTGAACCACCTCCGGTTTTATTTGCCGGATGTTTTCCCAAATCTGAATAAAATTGTTCTTCTTGATCATGATGTGGTGGTTAGAAAGGATTTAACGAGGCTGTGGAGCATTAGCATGAGGGGCAGAGTAAATGGTGCTGTGCAGACTTGTAGTGAAGGGGAACCTTCTTTCCGCCGCATGGACATGTTTGTCAATTTCACAGACCCCTTAATAGCAGATAAATACGATGCCACCACATGCACGTGGGCTTTTGGGATGAACATATTTGATCTTCGGGAATGGAGACGGCGAAATTTAACTGAGGTCTATCTGAAGTACCTTCATTTGGTGAGTTTCTTTTTTTTTTTTTTTATTAAACTTGTTTGTGCATATTAATGCATGGCTAACATAACTGGTGCTTTTCACATATTTATTTGGTCAGTTGCATATTTTTTGTGTTGGCGTGATTCGCTTCATGAGGTGTACCTGTTGTTGCATTTTTAGTTTTTTGGCCAATTACAAAAAAAAATCCATTGAGTTTTAGCCTAACTACAAGAAAAACAGGTTATTATTAATAATTATACAGGGCCCATCAATATTTGTTTCTCTTTTACAAATGGAACCTGGAGAGTCGGATAATGGGGTATTTGTTTGATGAACATAAATTTAAATGGGTGCTTGTTACATTCAAGGGGGCATATGTTTTTTAAAAAATATATAACTATGAGTTTTGTACTTACGCTAAACTCCACAATTGCCATCTAAAATTTTCATGTTGTGCTTCATATCTGTAATTCATCGTAGGTAAATGCTGCTGCATAGCCATGACTTTCTCATTCTTCTCCTTCTATTTATTTTAAAGTTGGTTTTTTTATGTATCCATCAAAATGAAGCTGGTTAGATGGCAAATCCAGTATAAAATTTTCCTCCAAAATTCAATCCAAAAAAAATTATTTACTATCATCAATAGGACATGCTTGTTTATAAATTCAATCCAAAAAAAAATTCAATCCATCGTTTATAAATTTCGTCAATTAAATGTATAAATGTCCGTGCAGGGCAATAAGAGGCCAATCTTGACCGAAGGAAGCTTGCCCATTGGTTGGCTCACATTCTACAAACACACGCTTGCTTTAGAAAACCAGTGGCAAGTCTTAGGGTTGGGGCACGACTCCAGTGTGAGGCAGAACAATATAGATCGAGCATTTGTTTTGCATTTTGATGGGATTCATAAACCATGGTTAGATATTGGGTTCGAGAGATACAAGCAGTACTGGAGAAAACATGTCAAATACGATCATCCATACCTGCAACAATGCAACGTTCATGAGTAGTTAGAATCGGTACAACACGACAAGATACGAAATTTATACAATAGGGATATCTTTGCATTTTGTTCATCCCACTTCATTCTTTCTCAATATTCAACGGTTCATACAGGTGAATCTCTAGTCTCTCTCTCTCTCTCTCTCTCTCTCTCTCTCTCTCTCTCATATTTTGTTTACTAATACAGCTATAGAATTTTTAGGAGCTCGGACCATTCTAGCAATAAGGAGCCAGATTTTGGTGAAGCCCATAGCAAATTTTTATCTTGGTTGCCTGGATATTGTGCATGTAAAAAGTTAGTCTTGTGTAGAGCAAAAAATGTTCATTAGACACAATACAATTCTTACATATAAGCCTGAGGTTTTCGCTAATTCCAAGAAGTGGCTTTCTCTCAAAATCTGATGTTCTTTTGTTCGTATAATGGTTCTGAAAATCGGACGGCCTCAACACTGGTCTGATTTTATTGTTTGTTCTTATCATGATTACGAATAGTTCGATTCTATCAATAATTGTCCGGCCTGAATCCTCTGAATTGATCAAAAAGCAGTGTACTTGGTAGAGACTCTATCAATAGAAATAGATTATATCAATGAAATTGTCCAGCCTGAAAATCAGATCAAGAACTGCCTGAATTGATTCAAAAGCAGTGATCAGGCACAGGTTCTGGCGGTTGGCCTTTTTTTTTTCTTTTTCCATTTTGAATTTGAACTGGTATTGGTGGTGGTAAATGACCCTTACCTATTTTATTTAGTGGTATAAAACGTTATATATTATAAAGTACATAATAAATGTGCATAGAGGTGTAAATAATATTCACATAAGGAGTCTACTTGATTTTTTAATTTTGGTAGTTCTTACTAAATATGAGAGTTATGTACACCCCTATATATAATATTATGTACTTATAGCATTACTCTTATTATATCACCTTTGTTTATTGTTGTGTATTTAAGCCATGTATAACATTTGAAGCAAACTGAGCAAAAAATTATATGTGAGTTCAACTGGTCAAGCTAGTGATCCTGTTGCCAAAAGTATGAACTAGTTTCACAATATTTCAAAGATTAAGTATAGTAGTAGTAAGGTTGTATCAGACATAAATAACCATAGACAACCATAACTTTCAACCAATTGTCGTATTTTAGTATCGTCTAAGTTATGGAGTTTGTACCCGGTGATAAGTGTGATTCCAAGGGGGTTGGTCCAGATTTTGTTATAATTTCAGTGATGTCAATTGACACCTCAATTGTACTATTTTGAGTTTAAACTTATTAATATAGTTATCATTGGACAAAAAAAAAATGTATTGAAATGTTATATATTAAAAAATAAATTTTAACATAGATAAAAGTATAGCATCTCTTATTATAATTATATTTTTTTTCATATTTTGTTGAAAAGAAATGATTCGTATATTATTGCTATTATTCTAAAAGTATGATTGTAATTATTTTATATCTAAGTTAAATGTAATGATTTTTTTTTTTAAATTATTGTAAAATGTTCCTTTACTTTGTGTATGTATATTTATGCGTGTGTAGGACTGTAAACAAGCCTCCTCGAGCTCGGTTCTCATAATCCGAAAGCTGGCTTAATATTAACGAGTTGAACTTAAATTGACTAAACAAACGAGTTGAGTCGACTTACAAACCGACTTATTTCTTTTAATATCTCAATATATATGTAAGGTTTGACTTTATTTTGACCCCAATAGCCAACTATTTTCATTCACACTCGGATATTTCATTTGACTTGAGGAAGCACATGTGGCTGCCATCGGATCAGTGACACGTGGCGATATGAGATTGGACACTTACAGATGAGACTCAAATCACCTCATCCGAGGTGTGTGGATGTCTGATACAGAGATAATATTAGATACTGCTTGCAATTGCAAATCACACTAAAACACACTGAATTTTTCTCCAGTGTGAAATTTGGCCCAACAAAAATCAATTGAATTTTGACCCAAAAATGGCCACCATCACAGCTTGCACTTCTGCTTCGTTAGTTACACGCGCCGCCCTCGTGCAGAAGGCCTCCGCCGTGCGCCCCTCCGCCGTCCTGGGTGAGGATTTAAAACAATCTTTATTTCATTTTCTTTTGTTTTTTTTTTTCTTCTATTATTTTTCGGAATCATGTGAGGACTAAGGTAGAGAGGCAAGTCTGTTAAAATTTGTCTAATGCATTTCATGTTATTTATGTCTTTGGTTTGAAAATTGATAGATCGTCGGAAAGAGATACCTTAATTGTTTTTAATTATTTGTTAATTTGATAATTGGTTACAGAAAAATAAACTGGATCGGAAGAATAAAATATATTTTCAATATTGTGAATAATATGAGATAAAGGAGAAATACTATGCTCTCGTGACGATACTCTCCCGTCAGGTGTTTTAACCGTTGGATCCACGTTTAGTTAGATAAGATAGATGATCTAACAGTTAAAACATCCGACGAGATGGTACCATAACGGGACCGCACAATTTCCATAAAGTTAATGTTAGATAAAAATAATGGATCTAAAATGACTCGTAGTTAGAAATATGTTAGTGAATGTTTAGTAAGTTTTAACAAAAAAATGTATACTTATGAATTATGATTGATTTCTATTACTGAATTGTATTATTAATCCATATAAGAATAAAGCGAGACGATGAACAGTTATCTTTTTTATTTACAAATATATGTATACTATGGCTCCCTAATATCTTGAGCTGTATATTGATTATCGATTTATTTATCATGAATTTTATGGTTGTAATTAATTTAAGGCTTGCCATCCATGCCCAAGAACGTGGGCAAAGTTAGATGCTCCATGGAAGGAAAGCCACATGAGAACGAGCCGAATGTGGGTATGGCGGCTTCACTGGCGGCGGCGGCTTGTGCGGCGGCTCTGTCGAGCCCAGCCGCCATGGCCTTGGTGGATGAGAGGATGAGCACGGAGGGTACTGGGCTTCCATTTGGGCTGAGCAACAACCTATTGGGCTGGATCATTTTCGGCGTCTTCGGTTTGATCTGGGCTTTCTACTTTATCTACGTTTCCGGCCTTGAGGAGGACGAGGAATCTGGGTTGTCTCTTTGAGCTTGGGCCTTGGAGCTTTGGGTGATTTTAGTAGTTATTAATACATCTCCTTTGATGAGTATAAAAATATTGTTTTCATTGTGTGCTTGTAAACAAACAACTACTTTTTGATGTAATCTCCTGGTTTTCATTGCCTTTTTGTGCCTTGAAATTAAGTGTGATTGATGATTAGTAGAGTGTTTGTCATGATCATAGACAACAATTATGGTAAATCTAATTACAAATGCAGGATGCTCTTAATCATACTTTATAACTAAATAGTTATAACTTTTCAACATTCATGTCATATAGTTCATATTTGCAACATCATACTTTTAAAAGCTAAGGCAAAATCTATATATATATATATAATTGTTGGCTTATGAACATTTAATAAAATCTATTAAATTATACCTATGTGGCAATATAATTTTTCCATCCAAAAATCGTTACTTTTTATTTATTTAACCTCTCATTTAATTATTAGATAATAAACATATTGATCACTTCAAAATTACAAAAATTATTTTAAACTTTTAATTTATTTACAGCTGACCATATAATGTGTTGACTATTTAGCGTGATTAGATTGTTGTGGTTATATTTAAATTAACTTCTTTTGAAAAATAAAAAACGTATTTGAAATTTCTAAATAAATAATAAATAATTCATAAAAAAATACATACTACAATATACATTACATCTAGTATGATAAATACAATTTAAAAAAATAAATATTTCACCTCCTTTAATTGTAAATTTGGCCTCCAAAAAGTGCAAGAAAAATTATTAATCATATATGCATACAAATAACTTACAATACTTTATTTCTACCTGTGCAAATACACAGGTGAATACTAGTTGCAATAAAGGCTAGACTTTTGCAATTTAATCACCATGTGTTTGTTGCTTGTGTTTAAAGTCATAGCATTGGAGATGCTCTAATCTGTCATAATACACATTACACAATTAATTTAATTAGTATCAAAAACCAACATATCCTAATATAATATATTATTTATTTATTTTTTAAAATATTATATTTTGATATAAACATATGTATCTCTGTGTAGAAAATAGGCCTTATGAGTCTTGTAAATGAATCGAACTGAATCGAGCTTGGGCTGTTCGAGCTCGTGTTCGTTTACGTTCGAACGGTGTTCGTGTTCGTTAGTTTATTTTTGAGCAAAAAATCATGTTCGATTTCGTTCGTTTAATGTTCGTCAAAGTTCGAGATCGTTCGTGTTCGAATAATTTAATATATAAACTTTTTAAATATGTTCGATTAACTAGAAATTTGTTCGTTCAAACTCAAAAAGAAAAGGATAAGATAAAAATAATTTTATATATTATTTTTGTTATTAAAAATATTATGTAAATATATAGAAAATAAATAAAATTATATTAAATTTCAGTTTCTTTTAATAAAAATAATATGTAAATATATAAAAAGAATAAAAAACATATTTTGAATTAATGTTCGTGAACATAATCGAACGTTCACGAACGAGTTCGTGTTCGTTCGATTATTAAACGAGCCTAATTTTGTGTTTGAAGTTCGAACTCACCTCGATTAACAAACAAACGAGCTTTTGTCAAACATGAACGTTCGCTTCGTTTATAACTCTTTTATCTATATATAGAAAAAGTGACTATTCAATTGACGATCACACCAAAATTGCCCAATGACTATCCAATTTTTTTTTTTTTTAATTAATTACGCCTAAAAAACACATCGTTCATTCGTTATATTTTTAGAAATTACATAATGATTAATATATAAGTAAAAAAAAGAATATAATTATGTTGCTCACTATTATAATACTTATAATTTATAAAATATAATGTGCCTATTATATGTTTTAAAATGTAATATTTGTTATAAAAACGGGAAAAGATAAAGAACACAGAGTAGAAACCGAATAGAAATTATACTTAATATTTTTTTTTCTTCTTTCTTTCCTTTCAATTGTGCTCCCTTGCAATACATATGCTTTGCCTT